GGTGTGAGCCACCAGTGCCCAACTACAAGTGACTCTTAGCCGGGCGCCGGGGGCTCACGCCTGTCATCCTAGCTACTCAGGAGGCTGAGATCTGAGGACCGCGGTTCAAAGCCAGCCTGGGCAGGAAAGGCCGTGAGACTCTTATCTCCAATAAAGCACTAGAAAACTAGTGGCGCTGTGGCTCAAGCGGTAGAGCGCCCGCCTTGAGATGAAGAGCGCAGGGACAGCGCCCAGGCCCACAACTGACCCAAAAATAAAAATAAAAATTATCTCTTGGAGCTGGGAATATGGCTTAGTGCCTAGCATGCATGAAGTCCTGGGTTTGGATTCCTCAGTACTACATAAGCAGAAAAAGTCGGAAGTGGTGCTGTGGCTCAAGTGGTAGAGTGCTAGCCTTGAGCAAATGAAGTTCAGAGACGGTGCCTAGGCCCCGAGTTCTAGCCTCAGGATGGAAAAAAAAAAAGAAATCTCTTGACAGGTGCTGACTCAGGCCTGTAATCCTAGCTACTAAGCAGCTGAGATCTGGGGATGGCTATTTGAAGCCAGCTCCGGCAATGCCATTCCAAGAGACTTATCTCCAATTAACGACCAAAAAGCCATAACCTCTCTTGTTACAAAAATAACGAAGATTTGAAAGAAGGTGTGGGTTAAGAGAGATGGGTGACAATGTTGTCAGACACTTTGTACTCATATGCTGTTTTGTAGAATGGGAACTTCTCTGTACAACTACTTAAAAATAATAAAATAAAAAATACCAAAAATTTGTTTAGAAAATAAAATTCCAATTTAGCCAGGTGCTGGTAATGAACGTGGTAGAAAGGAATACCTGTGGATAGCAGAAACAGTCAAAGTGGGAACAGTGCCAGGCGCCAATGGCACACAGTGTAATACTCAGGAAGCCAAGATCTCAGTTAGAAGCCAGCCTGGGCAGGAAACTGAGACTCATCTCCAATGAGCCACCAAAAAACTGAAAGTGAGGCTGGGCTCAAGTGGTAGAACAATGGCCTGGATTAACAACAACAACAAAAGCTCAGGTATAACACCCAAGCTCTGAGTTCAAGACACAGGACTGGAACAAAAATTTTGAGAATGGGGCTAGAAGGTGGATCAGTGGTAGAGTGATTCCCTTGCATGCATGAGGCCCTGGGTTCAATTCCTCAGCACCACATAAGCAGAAAAAGCTGGAATTGGCACTGTGGCTCAAGTGGTAGAGGGCTAGCCTTTAGCTGAAGAGCTGAGAGACAGCGCCCAGGCCCTGAGTTCAAGCCCCTCAACTGACAAAAACTGAGCTGTGAATTCTTAGGCACTAAAAGCAGAGAGTTCTTCGTTCTTTGTGGTGGCTATGTTGGGTTTACGCTCAGCATTCTGGCCCCAATGAAGATCACAATATCTGGTGGCAGAGGAGCAAGAAGCAAGAGCTCACTAATGCTCTGTTTTTCTTGTTAAACACAATCCATCATATAAGCTATAATCCTATTCTCACATTGTTTATAAAGTCCCAGAGCATCAAAAAGTGTAAGTTTCATTTGACTTTGAAAAGCCCAGTCGCATCAAAACATGGTCTACAAGTCTCTTGACTCAGAATTGACCCTGTTGCAAACAAAACACACACACACACAAACACAAGTTACTGGGGTTGCAACATATCCTGTTTTAGCCTGGAAAGCCCCTTCCCCTACCCTATTCTGCTGTAGGTGCTCAGAGGAGTTTCCCAACAAGCCAAGACAGCAGTAGAGCTCCCCAAGAAACTGTAGCACTTTCCATTCACTGCACCCCCTCTGTATTTTTCCATACAGCAGGGGAGGGATTAAGGGGGCAGCTCTCTGAAGCCAAGTACAGGAGTTGCTCCCTGAGACGTCAGTAAACACTGAAGTAATCTGAGAATGTACACATCAATCACCACCAAAAACATCTGCATCGAAAGTTTACCCTGTTTTTAGAGGAAATGTGACGTGGGCAGAATCCACTAAAGCTGGAAGTTTCAAAACAAAAAACAAACTAAAACCACAACACTCTGTGAACTACCCAGAACAGGACCATGCCAGACATACTTATAATCCCCACAGGGAGGTTAAGGCAGTACCCAAGCACTACAGCAAGACCCTGTCTCAAACAACAACAACAAAACAAAGCAATTGGACAAAAGGGTAAATTCCACCAACCAGAACATATCAAAGCCTTATTGCACCCCAAGCCCCCCCCTCATCTGACTGGTGTCAGGGTGCTTGCTCTAGCTGACCATGAGCATGTCCTCTTCGGACTCTAGTGCTTAGCTGAAAAAAGGAGCATACCTGGCTAATGAACAATAAAATGTTATCATACAGAAAGATAACCTGTTATGTCAGGTGTTTTATTTTTTGAAATAAGGGTCTCCCTATGACCCATGCATGCAGGCCTCCAACTCTCAATCCTGCCTCAGCCTCACATAATGGTACCAGGGAATGAACTCCATGCCTAATGTTCTTGCCTTGCTTTCTTATGACTGCTACTCTGCCACTTGAACCACACCTCAACTGCAGCATTTTGATGGTTAATTGAAGATCAAGTCCCAAAGACTTTTCTGCTGAGGCTGACATTGAACTACAACCCTCTAGGTCTCAGCCTCCTGAGTAGCTAGGATTACAGGTATGAGCCATTGGTACCTGACTGCTGCAAAGATTTTTTTTTTGCAGTCGTGGGACTTGAACTCTGGATGCTGTTCCTCAGTTCTTCAGCTCAAGGCTAGCGCTCTACCACTTGAGCCACAGTGCCACTTCCAGCTTTTTCTGCTTATGTGGTGCTGAGGAATCAAACTTAGGGCCTAATGCATGCAAGGTAAGCACTCTACCACTGAGCCACCTTCCCAGCCCCCAGCCCCAATTTTTTAAGAGATGTTTATGGAGAAAGCAACACCTGGAGCAGAAGTGCTCTTGATGGATGCCTTGTGTCATGCACAAAGCAACGTTCTGACAACAACTTCATGGGACAGGCAGAAAGTTCAAAGCAATATATGGAAAGAAACAGCAGTTTATCAGTCCACTAGGAAAACTGACTTAGGAAAGGAACACCAATGAATTTTAAAGTTACTAGGTGGAAGGCTGTAGAAGCTGTCACAAGCTTGGATCACTTATTACCATCAAAGAATATGTCCAATTACACTACAGATATCTTAAGGGCACATCAATGTTACCCACTGCCTAGTTAAAAGGAAACAAGTGTAAAATAATGGATATTCTGCTGTGAACTGTCTTTTAAAAATTAATGTCAGGCTGGGCACTGGTGGCTCATGCCTGTAATCCTAGCTACTCAGGAGAATGAGATCTGAGGATAGCACAAGCTGCCATGTTATTTACAAATAACCACCAAAAAGCTGGAAGTGGAGCTCTGGCCCAAGTTGATAAGAGTGCTAGTCTTGAGCAAAGCTCAGGGACAGCTCCTTGGCCCTGAGTTCAAGCCCAGGAATAACACACACACACACACACACACACACACACACACACATCAATATCTTTATTAGTCTAGAAATGTTAAAACAATGTTTTCATTTATATAGGCATAAATATGTAAAGTTACAGGCATAAATATGTAGAGTTCTCCAAATAATGAAAAAAAATCCTTAGTGTCTTAAAAGGGAGAAAAAAGCTGAGAAAATGTGTGACATTTTGTAGTTAACAGAAGAAAATAGAGATTGGACAACTAAAATTAATTCAGACGAAGTGGCACTGTGGCTCAAAGTGAGAGCACTAGCCTTGAGCCAAAGAGCTCAAGGACAGTGCCCAAGTTCTGAGTTCAAATCCCATAGCCAACAAAAAAAGAAAGAGAGAGAGAGAGAATTCAGAGTCTCTGGAACTGACTGGAGAAAGGGTATCAATGGAACAGTTGGGGAAATTTGATTACTGACTGATTATTTGATTATGGACTTATTGTTTTATTGTAGAAATGTTACTTTTTTGGCTGTGATAAATATGATTATTTAAAACAATATTGTTGTGTCCTGCCGGGCGCCAGTGGCTCACTCCTGTAATCCTAGCTACACAGGAGGCTGAGAGCTGAGGATCACAGTTCAAAGCCAGCCCAGGCTGGAAACTCTGTGAGACTCTTTTCTCCAATAAACCACTAGAAAACAGGAAGTGGTGCTGTGGCTAAAGTGGTAGAGCACTTGCTTTGAGCTGAAGAGCTCAGGGACAGCGCCCAAGCCCAGTGTCCAAGCCTCACAACCAACAACAACAACAAAAAAAAAAGTTGTGTCTTTATTGTTAATATCTAGAATTTCTAGGGAATTTGGAGTGATATATTATTATCTTTTTATTTTTCTTAAGGGAAACAAAAATACTATTAAATAGAATCATTTGGTGAATCTAGGTAAAAACCATTTAAGTATGATTTCCTGTAATTGAAAGTTTTCAAAAAGGATTAAAGTTTAAAAAAACACACACAGATGTGCACACGCACAGTAGTTGAGTAAGGTAGAAGCTGGCTTCCTGTGTGATCTACATCAGCTTTGGAGCCACCTCCAGAGTCCAACCTGGGTTTGGAGTTCTGGGGGACGTGGGTCTTTCTACTCAGGTATCTCCAGCATTCTGCTGAGTACCTACAACATTTGTTCAGAAAATGTGCTCCCAGAAACAAGGGCCTGGTCAGCTGTTCGGACAGATGAAAATGGAGGTCCTGGATACCATGGGGCATGGCTCCATCCCCACTTCCTCCTCCAGATCTGCGTCTGGACTCCAATTCCAGAGCCTCCCTTACAGACTTGCTCATCTCTCTCTTCCAGCAAGAGCAGGGCTTTGGGGAGGGGGGAGGGAGGGGTCATGCAACTGACAAAGCACAGATAAGCCTCTAATTTGCAGAGAGGACAAGCCATCCGGAACCGACATGTGTTCACCGTTAGTCTCAGTTCCCATCAGTGCAACGCACTTCCTGTGCCTTTCCCATTATTTCACAAGCTGTCTTTTGGGGTTCACGCTCAGTCTCCAGGTCAGAATTTTTTATTCTGTCAGAAGACGGACAACTGGCTCTAGCCCTTCTGGGGCATGACGATGGCCAAAACCCTTAGTGACCACCTTCTCAACACCCTGGAAGAGCTGGTGCCCTATGACTTTGAGAAGTTCAAGTTCAAGCTGCAGAACACCAACCTAGAAAAGGATCACTCCCGAATACCCCGAGGCCATCTCCAGCTGGCCAGGCCAGTGAAGTTGGCCACTCTGCTGATCACCCACTATGGGGAGGAGTACGCTGTGCGGCTGACCCTACAGATCCTGCGGGGCATCAACCAGCGCTTCTTGGCAGAGGAACTCCACAGGGCCACCAGCCAGGGTAAGTATGGGGTCAGGCCCCTTTCTGGCCCTCATGGCTGCTGGCAAGTAGGCAAGGAGTGCTCAGACCAGGCCGAGGGTATAAAGGCCCTGTCTACCACATCTGAGCATCTGTTGCTCTTTCTGGCCTGTGTAGCCAGGCTTCTTCTAAAGGCTTTAAAAATAGACTTGGTTTCTGACTGTGAGCCAGAATCAGGAGAGGCAGGGACTGAAGCACCTGCTCCTGGAGAACACGTCAGTGCATGTGTAATGAGCACACATGGAAACACAAGTATTGAGCTTGCAGAAAGGGTCTGCAAAGCAATCGTAAGAGCAGTGCTGTGCTTTCCTCTTCGACATCCTCTAAAGGGAATTAAAAGTTTCCGTTCTTTCATACCCTAAAGCACTGAGTGTGGGAACATTTCATGTCTTTTATTTGGTTGTCTTTCCAGACTATTCGATACCAGAAAGTGGCACTGACACTTCGACATGGTCCTCTTCTCGGGAGAATAAGCCAAAGAGCTTAAGAGAATCAAACGGCCTTGAAGTTGATGGGCAGCCACAGCAAAGCGGGGATGTGGTGTCCAGCCTGCAGTCTACCCAACATGAGATGGGGAGAGCAGCCCAGAAAAAGTGTCAGAGCAAGCGGAAGGACCCGAAGGTCCCTGAGGACACACAGAGCAAGCCATCGGCCAGGGTCCCAGGGCCAAACTCAAAGAGAAGCCCAGGCCCCACTCCCATGGCAGGGGACACGGAGAGGAAGGAGAGTGGCCAGCTCCGCAGGAATGCCAGCTCCGCAGGGAGGCTCCAGGGGCTCTGCAGTGGGGCCTTGGGGAGGAAAGACTCCAAGAAATCTGAGTTGTACTTACCTTCGGGAAAGAAGCGTCCCAAAAGTCTTGAAATTCCCATTTCATCAGGAGGGGGAGAACCCCCAAACCCAGAAATTCTTCTGCCTCAAGAAGAAACTCAACAGGAGAGAAATGCACATTCAGAGTCAGCAGCCGCCCCTAAGGGAGAAGTCAGTATGGATGGAGAGGGTCCAGCGGCTCAGGAGGGCTCTAGGAACCCAGATTGTTCCGTAGTCCTGGAGAGGAGAGCATTCAAGAACACACTTCCCAATGCACTATCAGCTGGAGAGAAGAAATGCACAGCATCGTGGGAGGAAAATGGAATTGGGGGACCAGAGGCCCCTGGCCCCCTGGTGAAGATGACTGGCAGTGTATGTCACAAGTCTTCAAATCCAGAAGTCACTTCACCTTCAGGTAAGAAAGGCACCTTGAGTCTGGAAGTCCTATCATGCTTCGGAATGGGAGCCTGTGCAGGTGCACTGTATTTCTATCACTGCCATACCTGGGTGTCTCCCAGGGTCCCTTTGCATATCTGATGCAGGCCATAGACACAGGGGAAAAAATACTTACACGGACATCTTCATAAAATGTTGCACCAAATGTTGATGTACTCCTGTACCCTCAGGAAGTCCTTCTTTAGAATTTACAGGCGTCATGGGCTCCAGGTTGAGAATGTGGAAAACACTGGGCAAAAATATCCCCTTCCCACCATTACTGTTGGGCGCTATGGGGCTGAGACTGCCATCTGCCTTTGGGGGGGGAGGATTAGGGGGAGAAATTCTTACCAAAATCCTAGGTTTTTTTTTGCGGGGGGCAGACCTAGAGCTTGAACTCAGGGTCTAGGTTCTGCCCTTGAGCTCTTTTGCTCAAGGCTAATGCTTTACCACTTTGAGCCACAGCACCATTTATGGCTTCTGAGGGCTAATTGGAGATAAGAGTTTCATGGCCTTTCCTGCCTGGGCTGGTTTTGAACTGTGATCTTCAGAGCTCAGCCTCCTGAGTAGCTAGGATGACAGGCGTGAGTCACTGGTGCCCTACTCTAGGTCATTCTTATTGATGAATTAGTCATCAGGATTATGGGGGTTTTGTTACAAAAGCCCCTAAATTACATACACAATACAATTATTTGTTCCTCTTTCACAAGAATATCATGCATGTGGTCCAGGACAGATCTATAAGCCAGCACTCTGACTCCTGCTGTTTGTTCTGAAACTCATAGCCTCAGATGGTAATGCAACAGAATAGAAGGACAAAGAGGAATAACATTGAGAGGATATAGGGAATAGCATGTAGGGAAGGTTTCTAGAAGTTTCTAGAAGCTGCTTAGGACACCTTATTTAGACCGCCTCCACTACAATGTGATTGCAAAAGAAGCTGGTACTCTGAGTTTGGGAGCGTGCGTGCGTGCGTGTGTGCGAGTCTGTGTGTGTGTGTGTGTGGTGGGGAAGCAGCCATTTAAGCATGCAATTAACTCTACAACAAGGGAAGAAATAGGAATGTTTTTTGGGGAAGGTCCTCTAGCAAACTTGTGTGAAAGGTTAACATGACTTCCTTGGACAGTAAGGGGCAGAAGAAGGAAAGAGCAATGGATTCTGTGTGCTTGTTTCTGTGTGTGTCTTCTGAATGATTCCTACCCAGTTGCTTATGGGGCCCCGAGGCCTCCCTGGAACACCAACTCAGCCAGCAGCCCCACAGCGGGCAGGCCTTTGTGAAGCCACTGTCGATGCTCTTGGGGCAGAGACATTCATAACTTTTACATCTTCTTTGTGAAAGACATCCCTACTCTTCTAAGGTCCTTTTTGCCTTACTTAGTGCTTCTTGAACTTGGATGTGATCCGTTTGCTCCCTCATTCCACACCCACCAACAAACGCTTACAGTGTACTCTCTCAGAAACCCTGCCAGGAGCTAGGGATCAGTCTACCCATGAGGCGCACAGTGGCCCCAGGAATTCCCACCTGAGGCACTGGCAGCCTGGGTGACAAACACTGTTAACATGTCTCACAGGCTTTTATATCCTACACGTCTGTATCTGTGCGGGAAAAAGACTTGGATATTCAGCAAAGGGCCATGGGCCTAAATGCCAAAGGGAAAAAAAAAATCTCCAGTCACAGTCCTGGCCTGTAGCTCTCAGTCCCAGTGACCTCTTGATGGCTTCACTTGAATAAAAGTCAGGGCAGGACAGGCAAGGAAGTAGACAGGCTAGATCCGAGAACACATGTGTTCTAGCTCCAGAAGCTCTAAACATCTAGAGTTTTCCGTACAAGTGACTTTTCCTCTGCTTTCTCTCCAGGGAAGCCAGAGGAAGAGACTGCATGTCATGCAGGTGGAGACCTGCATGATGACATGTGTATACATGGCGCCTGCAGCTCCTCCACTGTTCCTAAGGACCCCCAGGCCACAGGAAGCCATCCCTCCAGCTGCCCTCAGTGCCAGGCCTCCCTCACAAAGAAAGGCTCTGGAGGGCTGAGCTCCCAGCCCCCGCCACACTGTCAGCACCACAAGCAGGTACAGCTGCTTTTCTGTGAAGACCACAGGGAAGCCATCTGTCTCATCTGCAGGCTGAGTCAGGAGCACCGAGGCCACTGGGTGCGCCCCCTCCAGGAAGCTGCCACAGAATACAGGGTAAATGCCCCTGCCTGGGCCCTTCTCTCACACAAACCAAACGCACGGGGCCTTGTTTCATTTCCCTCAAGCACTGTGGGATGTGGGTGCACTAGTCAGGACTACGGGGCTATAAGTAGATACAAATACACATCAGGCCCGCAAAGACAGGATTAACCAACTTACCTGGCTCACAAGTCTGAAGGTGCTGGTCTCAGGTATGGCGGAGCCAGGGGATCATCGGGACTGTCTGCTTGGTTCTGCTTTCCTTGGTGGTAGGCACATTTGTCTTCTTTCCTGAGCATTCTTCCTGGTGCTCGACTATGGCACCCTCTATTTTGTTCCTGGAAGCAGCTTTTCTCCCTTCCTGGAAGTCAGTGTGTCTCAAGAAATGCTCTTTCTCCAGGAGCAAATTCAGAAGCAGCTAGAGCATCTGAAGGAGCTGAGGACATCTGGGGAGGAGCAGAGACGGCAGGGGGATAAGAAGACTGGAAACCTCCTGGTAAGGAGTCCTGCTCCAAGGCTTGCCCATCACTCCTGCAGGGGGACGGGTCTGGAAGCAAAAGGGGGTCCCTGAGATTCTGCATGGTGGATCTGTAGGGCCCTTTCCTCTTGGGAGGTAGGAAAGATTGTTTGAGGACAATATCACCTCTTTGAGGAAGCTTCCTGGTGGCTATCAGAAAGAAAATGAGAAGAGCCAATAAATTACCTCTGTTCACTAGTAATGAAAGCTAAGTTCACCGACATTCGAATGGACAGGTGCCGCCATTGAGCACTGACGTTAAAAAGTTAACATGAAATCATTGACAAAAAAAAAACCACAACATTGCGGGGGGTAGGGGCGGGGGAAGGGGAACTCTTGGAAGGAAAGAAGTATCACTTCTTTCTCAAGTGGAGTGTTTACACCTTGCTGTAACATTTGAACTTTCACAAGAGATGTAATAATTTTGATAATAAAATTCTTAACCATAAAAAAACAACATTGCTATTGAGATATTTTGAGACAAGGTCTGAATATGGAGTCAGGTTGGCCTCAACCTCCACATCCTCCTGCCCCAGCCTCCTGAGTGTTAGGATCATAGGCATTTACCCAACTAAAGACCTTACTGTGAACTTCCTGTGCCCCAATATATATATATATATATTTTTTTTTTGGGTCGGTCATGGGTCTTGAACTCTGGCCTGGGCACTGTCCCTCAGCTCTTCAGCTCAAGGCTAGCTCTCTACCAATTGAGCCAGAGGGCCACTTCCGGCTTTCTGAGTGGTTTATTGGAGATAAGTGTTTCACAGACATTCCTGCCCAGGCTGGCTTTGAACCACGATCGTCAGATCTCAGCCTCCTGAGTTGGATTACAGCCATGAGCCACCAGCGCCCAGCTGCCCCAACATTTTAAGAGTAAAGGCTTCCATTCTGCAGAAGGGTTTGGTAGCCATAGCCTTGTCCATTTGTATGCCCACGGCACATACTAACTCCACCCTGGCCTCCAAGACAAGACAAGATGACCACTACAGTGTTTTGGCTTCCTATGGCCATTATACACAGAAACTTATTTTCTCTCTGTTCTGGAGGCCAGAAGTCTGAATGAGTGTTCTTTGGAAGGGCTGACACTCAGGGAAGGATCTCCAAGGCTCCCCCCACAGCCTGTGGATGGTTATCTGTGTCTTCTGACATGATGTTCTCTGTGTGTTTCTGTGTCCAAAGTGCTCGTTTTTTTTGGGGGGGGGGTCCGTTCGTGGGGCATGAACTCTGGGCTTGGGCGCTGTCCCTCAGCTCTTCAGCTCAAGGCTAGCGCTCTACCACTTGAGCCACAGTGCTACTTCCGGCTTTTTTCTTATGTGGTGCTGAGGGCCTCAGGCATGCAAGGCAAGCACTCTACCACTGAGCCACCTTCCCAGCCCCAAAGTGCTCATTTTATAAGGACACCAGAAGGTGTTGGAGTAGGATGGAATACGTAATGAAGCACAGTTTCAAGAACCCTATCTCCAAATAAGATCACATTCTGAGGCACTGCAGGCTTCAAACAAGAATTTTCTAAGTAGCCAGGCGCCGGTGGCTCACGCCTGTCATCCTAGCTACTCAGGAGGCTGAGATCTGAGGATTGTAGTTCAAAGCCAGCCCGGGCAGGAAAGTCCATGAGACTCTTATCTCCAATAAACAGCTAGAAAACCGGGAGTGGCACTGTGGCTCAAGTGGTAGAGCGCTTGCCTTGAGCTGAAGAACACAGGGACAGCACCCAAGCCCAGAGTTCAAGTCCCACAACTGACCAAAAAAAATTTTTTTTCTAAGGGAAATTATGGAATATCCAATATAAAATTGAAGATTTTTTTCCAGAAGCAACTCCATTACCCTTAGACTGTCACATTTCCATATAACACCACCCTATTTCTGGCGTTCAGGCCTTTAAAAGGCTGAGAAAAACTGCCTCTTACCCCCATCTAGGAGATGGAGTCCCAAGACATGCACACACACCCTCACCCCACAGCCCGGACTGCGACACTGTGACATCTCCATCTTCTCTTCCCCCAGAAACAGACTGAAACCCAGAAGCAGAAAATCAGACGCCACCTGGAGAAGCTCTCGTGCTTTCTGGAGCAGCAGGAGCAGCTCTTTGTGGCCTGGCTAGAGGAGCTGCACCAGACCATTAACAGGGCCTGGGGGACCTATGACACCCAGGTGTCCCAGGACATCCACAGCCTTGATGAACTGATTGGAGAACTAGAGGCCAGAAAGGACCAATCAGAATGGGAGCTCATGCAGGTGAGTGCTTTTGGACTTGTCCTTCACATGCGCACTGTGCCTAGTGGGAATGAATTAGGCTCCCATCACTGCCATTAGCTCTGCCAAAGACAGGGAGCAACACTCTTGAGCCAGAGGTAGCAACTGGCCACTCACAATACCTAATGGTCCCAGGCCCCATTGGTGAGGTCTCTTGGGAGCCCAGAGTAGCCCTCACATTGTGGAGAGGTACCAATAAGCAGGGTTTGAGTGAGGGTCTCACTCAAACCCTGTGGGCTCTGGCAGGGCTACTACCTGGGTGATTGGAATTAGAACAGAGAAGAGATGCTCCCACTACTGACACCACAGAACTGGGAGTCCTAATAAAGGCAAGAGCTCAGGAGGGGAGGCTGGGAGATAGCACAGAGCATCTGGGACACTGGTAAAGAAGAGCTTCCTCTTTTCTCTCCTAGGACATTGGAGTCACTTTGCAGAGGTATGCAGATATGGCTTGGTGTCCCTCTGTATGCGTTGCAGGAAGTATTTGGTGAGGCAGTCCAAGGAGGGACCTGGGTGTGACTCAGGACTTCTTGAATTTGTTCAGGGAGAATGGGAGCCTGAGCAGGAGGGAAAGCTGGGGTAGGCGCTGGGGAGAATGGATTTAGGCCAGTCCTGTTGAACTCAGCTTATGGCTTCCCATAGATTGTATTCATTCACCTTATGAAAACTGCCCTGCAGAGATGCCTGCAGCCTCCAACAAGGAAGCAGCAAGGGTCTCAGCATAGCATCTGGGGCTGGACGAAGCCGCACAGGCAAGGGAAGAGATGGGGTGAAAGGGGAAAAGACTGCACCACAAAGTCCTGGTGTGCTGAGGGTAGGGCCCAGGCATAGGTTGGGCTTTTTCTTAGCAGCAGTCTGCTGGGCTTTTGTTGTTGTTGATGTTCGTGGGGTTTGAACTCCGGGCCTGGGTACTGTCCTTCAGCTCTCCAGCTCAAGGCTAGTGGTCTACCACTTGAGCCACAGTGCCACTTCCAGTTTTCTAGTGTTTTTTTTTTTTTTTGAAGCTAAAAGTCTCACAGACTTTCCTGTTCATGCTGGCTTTCAACCATGATCCTCAGATATCAGCCTCCAGAGTAGCAAGGATGAGAGGCATGAGCCATGGGCGCCCAGCTTTCTGTTGTTTGTTTTTTAATGTAACATTTATTGCTTAGATGGTTTGATAGGGAAGAACTGTCTTCTCACTCTGTATTTAGAAAACCTATATAGCGAACACAAAGAGGAACTAAAATCAAACTTGTGACTCACTCACTGTTCATGTGACTTAAATGAAAAGTTTCGAGAAGTATAGTTAATTTGACATAGAAAACTCTGGTATATAGTAACTACCATAAGCTGGTGGCTCACACCCGTAATTCTAGCTACTTAGGAGGCTGAGATCTGAGAATCATAGTTTAAAGCCAGCCAGGGCAGAAAAGTCCATGAGACTTCAATTAACTACCAGAAACCCAAAAGTGATGTTGTGGCTCAAAGTTGTGGATCACTAGCCTTGAACAAAAGAGCTCAGTGACAGTGCCCAGGCCCTGAGTTCAAACCCCATGACCAACAAAAAATACAATATACATCAATAGCATTTAAAAGCCAGTATTTAAACTCATTGTGGTTTTTTTTTTTTTTTTTGGGTCCAGTTGTGGGGCCTGAACTCTGGGCCTGGACGCTGTCCCTCAGCTCTTCAGCTCAAGGCTAGCATTCTACCACTTGAGCCACAGCGCCACTTCCGGCTTTTTTCTTTTTGCTTATGTGGTGCTGAGGAATCGAACCCAGGGCCTTGAGCATGCAAGGCAAGCGCTCTACCACTGAGCCACCTTCCCAGCCCCTCATTGTGGTTTTGATCTCAATGATACTTAAAGCTCCCCAGTATAGGCCATTCTATGGCTGGCATTGAGGACCAGTGTTTAGAACACTGTGTCCAGGAAGGACTATTCTTTGCACAACCCAGGCTTGGCTGTAGGTGCCAGTGTAGACTGCGCCTAGCTTCCAACTCACAGGGACTTAGACCCCCTCCTCAGTCCGGCCCTCTTTGGCAACAGTCTTTTGTCTCTAGGGCAAGGGCGATGACAATCCCTAAGCCATGGACCACACCTGAAGATATGAAAGAAAAGATCCACTTGCTCCACAAGAAATCAGAGTTTGTGGAGAAGAACATCCAACACTTCTCTGGTAGGTGGACTTGGGGTAAGACGGGAGGAGCTTGCTTAGTTCCTACATGACACCTATGTATCCCAGAATACCTTTGCTTCCCTTCATCTCCCAAAACCTTTGTGACCCTACAGCTTCCCCTGGGTCCATTGCTATCAAGGGGGCCTAACTCAGTTTTTCTGTATTCTCTCCTCCCCACCTCCCCTGCCCCCAACCCCCTCCCATTTAGAAGCAATACGTTCTGAAATGGAAACATTCAACGGTGCGTATGATGGTAGAGGGTGACTGTCTGGGGGTTATTGTGATGGTCGCCATGCTGTGCACTTGTGGGAATTGTTTATAGAGACATCTGGGACAAAGGCAGGCTCCTTGGCTCTGCATTCCCTTGTGCCTGCCTTGTTAGCTGAGTTAACTCACTAGACCACAGTGTGTCCAGGATAGGTGTGGGTGCCTGGGAGGCCTTAGTTCTACCCTAACATAGGATGCAGGATCCAAAGCAGAAGCAGCCTTATTTGTCTTCCCTGGTGGTGGGGACAGTCTGAATTATCAGGCTTTCTGAATGGAAATGCTCACAATCTTTCCCCTCCCTATCTCTTTCATTCTCTATAGTTCCAGAATTGACTGCTGCCCAGGCACATGCTGGTAAGAGCTCACTCAGATCAAGACACATAGTGTTGGTTGCTGGGACCTTGTGTGTCCCCCACCACAACCTGGAAGAGCAGCCCTGTCTCCGGTGGATGGGGGGGGATCTTAGATGAATATTGTCCACAAACCCTCAAGAGAGGTATTGTGATCCTCTCTGCAGCTAGTGTGATCCTGGATCCAGCAACTGCTCACCCCAACCTCATCTTCTCTGATGACATGATGAGCGTGAGACTTGGAAATAAGTGGGACCGGCTGCCTGACAGCCCAGAGAGATTCGACAGCTGCATCATCACCCTGGGCTCTCCTAACTTCATCTCTGGCCGCCATTACTGGGAGGTGGAAGTTGGAAACAAGACGGCGTGGGTCTTGGGAGTGTGCCGAACATCCACAAACAGGAAGGGGAGCATGACTTTATCACCAGAGAATGGTTACTGGGTGGTGATGATGATGAAGCGAAATGAGTACCAAGCATCCACCATTCCGCCAACCCGACTGAAAATAAGAGAGCCCCCAAAGAGGGTTGGCATCTTCCTTGACTACACAGCTAGAGACATTTCCTTTTATAATGTGACAGCCAGATCCCACATCTACACATTCACTGGCTTCTCTTCCTCTTGGCCCCTTCAACCTATCTTCAGCCCTGGGACACATGATGGAGGGAAGAACATGGGTCCTCTGACTATCTGCCCAGTGGGTGGCCAAGGGCCTCACTGAATGCTCAGCGTTGCACCTCCATTCTGGCTTCTGACCTTGTATTTGCATTCAACAGTCACTAACTGCATACCTACCAGGTTGGCTCTGTGCACCAGTGGCTCACAACTGTAATCTTAGCTACTCAAATGGCTGAGATTTGAGGGTTGTGGTTCAAAGCCAGCCTTGACAGCCAAATATGCAAGGCTGTTATCTCCAATTAATCAGCAAAAAGTTGGAAATGAAACTGTGGCTCAAGAAGCAGAACACCAGTACTGGGTGCAAAAAGCCAAGGGATAGCACCCTAGCCCCGAGCTCAACACCAGTACACACACACACACACACACACACACACACACACACAGGTTAGAGCTGCTATAAGAGATGTAAAGAATAAGGGGCTGGGAAGTGGTAGAGCGCTTGCCTTGCATGCATGAGGCCCTGGGTTCGATTCCTCAGCACCACATAAGCAAAAAGAAAAAAAAAAAGAGATGTAAAGAATAAGAAAATAGCTGGGCACTGGTGGCTCATGCCTGTAATCCTAGCTACTCAGGGCAGGAAAAGTCTGTGAGACTCTTATCTCCAGTAAACCACTCAGAAAACTGGAAATGGTGCTGTGGCTCAAGTGGTAGAGTGATATCCTTGAGCTGAAGAGCTGAGGGACAGTGCCCAGGCACAGAGTTCAAGCCCCACAACCGACAAATAATAATAATAATTTTATTGCCCACAGAACTTATGGAACCATAGCAGAGATAGGTAGGTATGTAAGTGTTAGTGATCAAGGGTGGTGCAGAAATAGGTATGTGTTAGTAGTGATCAAGGGTGGTGATGACACCTTGATGACACGTAATAGATTTCAGAGGAAGAAGTACATGGAACATGGCTGTTGGTAATAAAGCGTGTATGATTTAGCACTCTCAGATGCTTCTAAAGCACAAGACTCTTAACATTTTCCTTCCCCACAGCCAGGATGTATACCTCATTCTCTATCTTCCCCTGTCTTAAGGATACTGGAAACCTACATAAAATATAAGCAGACTGGATTGTTACAAAAGTATTACATGGCTGGATTAATGAAATATTATTCCAAAGAGTAATGAATAGACCTCCTAAGTAAATCAAGTAGACAATTAGATCACAACTGCATTTGTCACTCCACTGATCACTGATACCATGAAAAAGCATGAAATGATCCAGTGGAAAAACCACTTCTTCTAAATATCAGATTATTGGGGCTGGAAAGGTGGCTCAGTGGTAGAGCGCTTGCCTTGCATGCCTGAGGCCCTGGGTTCGATTCCTCAGCACCACATAAGAAAAAAGAAAAAAGCCGGAAGTGGCGCTGTGGCTCAAGTGGTAGAGAGCTAGCCTTGAGCTGAAGAGCTGAGGGACAGCGTCCAGGCCCAGAGTTCAGACCCCACGACGACCAGACCCATAAATAAATACAGATTATTTTGTCTTGGTTTGTATCAGAAAATTTGTGAACTTGTGTAGTATTGGGTGTTCTAGCTTACATGTTCTACCCATATCATCTCCACTTAAGATGTAGTGACATAATCACCTAGGCCAGAATTTACCATGTTTAAATAACTGTGGAAGATGCAAATGAGGTTGCCCAGTGAATGTGCATAGAGTAGGCAAGGCAGGATGTATTCATACTGTACTGGCTGGTTATTATTGTAATAGTGTTAGCCAGGTGAAGTGGCACATATCTATACAAATCTTAGCTTTGAAAAGCAGAGGCAGGATGATTACAAGTTCAAAAAAGAGGGTGGAAGGCAGAGATCAGATAGTGGGAGAGAAGAGAGGAATGCATGCTGGTGTTTATGTACAGAGGACTGAAGGCAAATCCTGTTAGGGAAAAGGGATGTCTTCGAAAGGCAAGAATGAGGCAGACGAAGGATTCAGAGCTCAGCAGACCAGATGAAACTTTAATGAAGGTTAAAGACGGTTGCCATGGTGACTTGAAAGACAGGCAGTGTAATAGCAGCAGTGGTGGAGGAGCTTAAGTAGAGTCCTAGGTATGAGTAGGGTAGAAGGTAGCTGAAGAGTTGAAAGGGGTTTCAGGATGTGCCTTGAGTGTTTGTGCTAATGGCCAAAACCTGATTCCAGGAACTTACTGTGGCCTGCTTGGAGTAACTCAGGTGCCTGTCAGCAGAAGAGTGGGGAGTGGGGTTTCACATTTAGATTAAGATTCAGGGCTGGAGAATGTCAGGAAGTTGTGGGAGGAAGGTAGTTGGTGGGCCATGCAACACTGAACTTATTGGAACAAGGCAGACTCCCATCAAACCCTGCACACATATTGTCCTAAACCTGATTGCGTTCCTGGGCATGAACTGAGTGGGGCGGGGGGGGGGGAGCGGCGAGGGAAACCCAGACAAGTGGTGAAACCGACACCCGAGACACAAGAAGATAGGCCTAGAATGTCTTAAGAAAGCCGGGCGGGGCTGGGAAGGTGGCTCAAGTGGTAGAGCGCTGGCCTTGAGCTGAAGGCCCAGAGTTCAGGCCCCACGACCGACAAAAATAAATAAATACAAAGTCCAGCGTAACCGCTGTCGGGTTGTTTCCTTTTGGGGGGCGGGGGGGTGGGTGGAAGAAGGGTCCCCAGCCCCACCCGCCACGCGGCCTCGTCCTTCGATCCCCTCCTCGAACCCAGGCGCCGCCACGCGGGCCGACCACACGCACGCAGACGGCCTCCGCGAGGGCCGGACCTGCCCGGCGCT